GCTGTCTTGCTTTGCCAGTCAGCGAGCAGATGATATATGGTACTAATGATAATAGTAAATAATCTTGTCAATATTTCATTTTTTAAAACTGGCACAGTTATTTTCTTGCTGCTTAGTGAACCCAGCTTGTTTTCAGAGCAGAGCTAAGTGTTTGTATTGGTAGATTGAGACACAGTTCAAGTACTTTTAGGAATCTATGTGTCTCAGAGTAAGTTGGAGCTAAATGACTTAAGGATTTGCCTGCTCTGCCCCTGCCTCTGTGCAGGTGTCCTTACTGGAGCAGTGTGTCTGAAATTCTGGGAATGTGATGAGGTTTTGAGCTAGCCTTTTTAAATGCAAAAACTCTTCATCTAATTCTGTTTGCACTAAAGGTGTTTGCCCTTCTGTAAGGATCTGCCCTTGATGTGAGGTTTCTGGGTGTACTGGAAAGAACAGGCAGTGCTTGATTGGACTCAGGTGGACTGTACTTGTCTCATCAGTTGGTGCCACCAAATACAGCACGGTTTTGGTATGTTAATTGAAGCGCTTCATGTTTACGTTAGATGCCCCATAGATTTTGGCTATTCTGAAATTTCCAGGGGAAAAGATGAATGAATAGGATCTGTAAGTCTGCTAGCATTTTGGTTTTTATACTGCTCCACTTGCAGAGAGGTTTGCTACTGATGCAGATGACAGCCTAAGTATGAACTGGTCAGAATTTGCTGGCTCTGTCCCAGGTGAGGTTGATGGTGGGGAATGCCAAGGAAGACTGCATGGTAGAGCTGCTATTTCCAGTTTGCCCCAGCTCTGGCCTACTGCAGTGTGAGATGCAGGAGAAAAACGTGCTTTGAATTTTGTGACTGGTAATGGCTTGAGAACATAGTTCATTATATATGGACCTCATCCTGTATAGGTGACCTGCAGGCCCATTGCTGAGCACGAAGAGGAGGCTGGAGGTTATCATTTGGATGGCAATACTGGGTTGTCAAAAGTCTTGGGTCTGCATCCAGTTTTGGAATTCAATAGCTAGAGCTGTTGGGAGGTGTGGGGAGTGGTACAGGAAGCACTTGCTTGTCCTTTGCTATTTGTGAACAAGAGATACGTGAGAAGTGGCCTTCATCCGTGCAGGCGAAGGGGGTTTCCCCATCCTCTCTGCCCTGGCACACGTGTTGAAGCTGTATATAATCAGAAAAGGCTTTTCTCTGTTTGTCCACGATGTGTCTTGTACCAGCATTAACTTCTTATTGTTCTTGGCAATACATGGAGACACTGGATGCACAATGCTAAAATATTTCCAGTTCTCTGTAGACACAGACTCTCAGAACTGCACTGACACTGCAGAGAAATGGGCTGAATCTCTCTGCCCTCCCCCTGTTTGGTAACTGCTTTCCCCTTGAGCCTGGGACCGTGGGAGGATGCAAGGGGGGTGCTCTCTCCCCTCCCCAAGATTGTATAGCATCACCTGAGCAGCACCAAATGACGCTGGAGTCTGGGCATCTAAATTTAGGTAGCACATGCAGTCGGTGAGGCTGTGCCCACGGGTTTTGTCTGGGGGTGAATTGTTCACAGGTCTCTCAAATATTTGGTAGAGTCTGTCACCAAGCATTGCACACCACGGGTGCCCAGAGGTGCCTGTGAGACCAGGGCACTAGTGAAAACGGGAACAACCACATCTTGAAGGAGGATGCTCTAGCAAGCTCTTTGACTGACCATGCTTCATTGTCCTTGTTAATACCGACTTTTAACACTACAAGTAATGAAAGAGTTTCCAGCAGTAAATTTTCTGCATTTGCTTTATTTGTAACATGGACAGCAGTGGTGGTGGGAGTGAGCCAATGCAGCGCTGTGGCTGTGGCATCCTAAACAGAGTTTCGAAAATTAAAATCACTGTTATAGCAGGCGTTGCCTAACCTTGGCTTGGCCAGCTTAGTTTAGTCCTTTCCATCAATACAGGATGTTACCTGAAATAATTGTATAGCGTATATTTACGTTTCAGCTAAGGCAACCACTTAAGGTTTTGGTCTGAAGGTGGGCGAGTCCCTTGGTGTGTGACCTGTGCCCAGTGAGAATCAGGGATACCAACGCTGGGGTGGCTGCGCAGGTGGATGCTCATCTGGGCTGGTTTGATGATGTTGGGGAATACCAGGTGTCTTTATGCTGGTATGACCGGTTAAGGAGGAAGGAGTGTAGATGCCAAATGTGGGGGAAAAAAAAAAAATCTTTAAATCCTGCATTTTCAAAACCAGATAAGTAGTATCTACCTGTTAGGCCATCAAAATTCCCATTTCCATTTGATTCCAAGAATTGTATCACAAGGAAGATAGGTGTGTGCTGTGATCTGAAGCTCATCAAATTTTCTTTTTGATTTTGAAGACTTTGAATTTTTTAGGAAAACTTCCTCCAGTGGCACTGGAGAGATCTTGGTGCAACTTTTCTCTCTGATACAGCTGTATATTCTGGGGGGGGAGAGGTAGGAAAGAGCTTGGGCATTGCATATACAGAAAATTAGCCAGCTCAGTGGGTGAACATTCTGATCTCAACCCCAGTATTTTCTGTGCAGGCTAATGTTTTGGGTGTTACCAGGCCAAGTTTCATGAAGACCAGACTGCAATCTAGCCTGAAGGTGATGTGGTCTTGGACAGCACTTGGGATTGGTCTCAGCAATTCATTTTGAATGTTACATTTGTCAGAATTGAAAGTATGCAGAAAAGAGCAGCAACAAACAGCAAAATCTGAGCGCGGGTGATGGTTGGGCAAGTACTGCTGGGTCAACACAAAAGCGACTGAACTGGAATTCGCCTTGTCTAACCTTTCTGTTTGGTATTTCACGTTTCTCCAGTAATCTCCTTCCCAAAAGTGGGAGTTGCTGTTGCACTGAAACAGTCTGGTGTTTGTACAGCATTGATGGAAAGAGGGTTTCCTACAAGAAGGGGCTGAAAACTTGTCCCAGTTACCCCAGGACTGACCAGATACCCTGTGACTCTCGAGTCCAGAAGCCACACCTGAAATCCTCTGGTTCTGCTGAGTCACGAGCGGGCAGGAGGCTGGAATTTGTCCTGATGGAATCTCTGCTGCTGCCAGCTGGGTATGGTCATGGCAAAGGCAAGAGATCAATGGGGGGGATGGAATCTAAGTATTTAAAAATACTAGGGGGGGAATGGTTTCTATGTCCCTTAAAAGGGGAAAGGGTGCTTCAGACACTGAGAAACCTGTCCCTTTTAATCTTTTGCAAGAGCCGTTATGGGACTGGGTTGAAGCAGGGATGATGTCCGTAGCTTTTGCCTGTATTTTAGCAGAAGTTTGTCTCATCTGGTGTCAATGTCACAAGCATGAGAAAGGATAAATAAGACACTTCCTATAGGTCCTTTTATTTTTATTTTTCAAAAAAACACACTCAGGGACACCTGGGCTGTCTTGGGTTTGAGCTGCTTGTGAGCTGAGTCCTGCCTGTTTTTCATCTCCCACCTGCCTGCAAGACCATTGCTTTGGGGCATAACAGGGAATTGCCACAGACCACTTAAATATTTACATGCTATTTCTGTAATTTGCTGTATGCCTGTCATACTATCAAAAAGATTTCTCTTAGGGATCTGTACTGAAGAAGGGAAATATTTCCATGTGCTAAGAGAAGTGGCCTGCCTTTTAAGACAGGAAAAGGCAATATAGTTTGTGGCATTTAAACTTTTTGACTCTCTCACTCTTCCTTCATTTGCCCTCGTAGTGAGTGTGTGGTTTTGCGTTTCTGGGGTTTTTATGTGCTAAACAATGGCTGGACTATGGTGTCCAAAGGCAGTTCCCTGTGAGAAATTCACTACCCACAGGAAAACTTGGCTCGCTGCCTCGCTGTAGCCCAGGAGGGTTTGCTGGCAGAGTCCCCGAGATGCCGGGGAGCATGTGACGGCCGGCTGTGAGTGCAGGCTGGCTCATCTGCGCCGCCGGAGCCAGGGGAAAGACTGTGGAAAGTTATTCAAGGCCACCCTTAGAGTTTAACGTTCAGAGCGGATGGCTAAACGGTCACCGTTTTTCTTTGGGTTTGGAGCCACTTTTGCTATGTGCTGAAATACAGCCTTGCTCTGTGTCATGGGGGTTTTCTTTAGAGCTGTGTAGAATAATAGCTCCTTTATGAATGCCAGTGTTATTGAGGTTATTTACATAACAAGGAGCTGATCCCATTTTACCTCCGTCCGCCATCCGACCCTTGGAAGTTTGCATTTCTCGGCGATTTTGCTCCCTGCATTAGCAAAACCTTGTGGTCAGCAGGGAAGGTGGAGCCTGGGCGCGGGC